CATAGACTTTTAGGTACTAATGCTGTTAACATTCCTTTGGTCTTCCATCCAGATGACTCTCCAAATGCCTGTGTGCTTTTTTACTGATATGTATCAGAATAAGACTGGTAAATACCAAAAGGCAGAGGATTTATTCTCAACATTCTCAACAGTAACTTATGGACTTCGGGATTTCTATAGTTACCGCCACAAAACTCAGAATGTATTTTTTACAATATTTGTATTGTAAATATACTGTACAGAAGGGTTACAGTTACATGAGTAAGGTGATGAGTATATTTTCTATTGAGCATCGTTATCTCCTTCTTTATGGACTCAGAATGTATTATGTACTGGCATGGCCTCTTCTCCCACTTCTATTAATACTGAGTCACTCCAGGATCATTATGTAGCCTGTGGTCTGTAGTCAAACAGTCCTGCAATATAAAAGTAAGATGCTGGCCATGCCTCCCAGGCACCAGGACATTCCTGGCACACGAACAGGCTGCTGGCCATGCCTTCCAGGCACCAGGACACCCTTGCAAGTTGACAGTGCACTAATTTTGTCAGGACTTCTGCTTCCAGGGAAAAGAGCTAATCTAACATCATCTATTGAGACTGTATCTCAAAATGTAAAAGCGTATTACTTCTATCCTTATTCACATAGCTAAATGCAGTAAGAAAACAAAATGCCACCAAATACACTAATTTATATCTTGGAAAAAAGCTAGATTTTACATGGTGAATTTCTCTGGGCCAACATCAGATTTCTTTTGGTTTGATTTTATTTTTTTTTCTTTTTTCTTTTTTAAATTTTATTTGTGAACATATTGATTTTATTTTTGTATACAACAAGGAAGGATATATTAATGGGGGCTTCTCTACAGCTCCACCTGTATTGATTTGGCCATTGATGAGCTTCAATCTTTACCATAGGAAACAAATGAAATAACTTATAAAGGAAACAAGGAAAAGCCTGTCTGGCCTGCAGCCGGGGAGATCTGACCTGAGCCAGCTCTGCAACTGAACCAAGTAGGTCACCAGAAACAAGTCATCTCTTTGTTCTTTATTTTTCAGTAGGCACAGGATGGCTAATATGTTTTCATGTGCATTAAGGAGTATATAGACATTCAAACACAAGGCTTCTTTTGTCCTACCAACCAGAGTCTGAACATGCGACAAGCTATAACAATGTGTACTACATATGACACTGTTTCTCAGCTCACAATTCTCCCAAGACCACAGCTGCAAAGCTTATGCAGGAGGCTCTTTAGTTTCCAGAAAGCTAAGGAAAAAAATGAGTTCTCTTTATTTGCCCGAAGTCAATTATCATGTCAGGAAGCTGATTTGAATCTCCAGAATTGAAGCAAGTAGTCTTCACATAAACAGAAATCAACTCTAAGTAAATATCTACTATGAATATTTCACAGAACACTGGAATTAAATTAGTGACTAATGATGAAAGCCAAGAATGTAATTTTCTTAGATGTTGTGCTGAAGGGGCCTCTAAATTCATTTCTTAAATTCAAACTAGCTCAAGCTATGGCACCATTCTACCAAGACTGCTTGCTATTGTGTCATAAGGTGCCCTCCACAAATGCCTTCTAAAGCTGTCTTGTGCATCATAGGTACCAGCCCTGCATTCCCTCCATTAAGTTATAAACCACTTTTATGGGCTGAACAAATGTTAATGCCATTATATCTTAATGGATAATGCTATGAAAAGCACCAAAGTATTACAGCACGGGAACCTTTAGGGATGAAATACTGTATAACTTAGAAAATTGTCTGTTACAAACATATGTCAGCCATGAGGGCTTCTAGCCTTTATGATCCATCTTCAGAGAACTCAGTTATAATTTCGCCCTTGGTTAAGAGAACTTTGCAATTACACACAGATTTATTAGGTCCCAGGATTAAAATTCTCTGAGTAAGAATAAAAAATAATTATACTTCAGAACACAATGTGATATTCAAATGCTTTGAAAATCGTCACCTCAGCAAAAATGAGAGAGAGGAGAGGAAGAAGCTAAAGATGAGACTGGTAATGCTGGCCATTAAAAACTGTGAGTTTCAGTGCACAAATGTACACTCTGGCACTTTTATATCATAATCATGTGGAAATGAAAACCTCCCTTTTGTAGCAAAAGGCCTATCGTCTTTCTTGTCCTTTCAAAACTTGTTCTGTACATTCTTGGAGGTGAAACTCTCTTCCCTTGGGTCTGTGACTCTTTATCATCATCATTTTTACTCAGTTACTTCCTCTCATTTCTATTTGCCAGCAGATCTTCCTTTCGTTGGTCTTTCAATGTGAGAATTTAAGCTCTTGCTACTTCTTTGTCTCTAGTCTCTCTTTCCAGGAAAATGTGGCCATTTCTGTAGTTTTATTGCCAATGATATCTGAATTAACTCAAAATGTTGGGCTGCAGCTTAGACCTCTGCTTGAGTGCCAGGCCTGGTTTATTTCCCTCTGTTCTCTAGGTTTACTTAGCTGTCTCAAAGGCACTTCAATTTAGAACGTCTAAAAATGAATATATGATTTCTCTTTTTTATCCAAAATCAGGACCCCTCCTAAGCCTTTTCATGCCTGTAAGTGTACCTCCAAGCATCTATGCTTGGGACTCCTGCAATGATTTCCACGCATTCTTGCTGCTTTTCTTCATCCCCCTCATTCCACCTCCACAGCAGCCAGAGTAGTACACTGAGATAGCCAATGTGATCACACACCATTCTCTCCTCATATGCTTCACTGACTCCCTTTCTTATAGTACCTTGAACATGGCTGAAGAAGTAAGTATTATCTGGCTCCTTTTACCTCTTTTGCCTAGGCTTATCTATCCACTGTTGCTTTCCATGTTGTATCATGGTCCCTACCAAGACAAGCTCTTCCATTTCTTTTGCTTACAGTCATCACCATTTTTATCCTTAGTTGTTCTCCTATTCATTGTTCTTGTCCTTGAGGAAGGTAATGGTATCCTATGATGAGCTCCTATAAACTTATATTATATATTTACTTTTGAGATCTTTGAAAAAGTAGTGTCTATCTCTCCCAGCAGATCACCAGTTCAAGAGGGCAAAGGGTCATGCCTGTTTTACCCACCACTGTTCTCCTGGTGATCCCACCCCCATGAAAAGCACATGAATAACCTAACTTTCATCACTTCAAAGCCTTTTTCAAGGCTCTCCTTTTCCATCACTACAAGAAAATACTATCACAAATTTGATGGCTACAAACAACTACTTCTGGTGACCTTGACCACATCAGGTTTATTTCAACAGAAAAACTGGAAACAGAATAACAGAAAAATGCACAGAAATCAGGCCCTGAAAAGACCAATGAAGCAAATCCTAGATTTATAACCAGTGTAGGTGTTAGGAGTCAATATTGTATGAAAGTGGAATAGAGGGGATGAGGAGCTCATTAACTTTCTTCAGAAAATATAGTAAAGCTTCAAATGGTTGACTACTACAATCTATGTTAGTTAAATTTTATTTTCCTTAAACTGTATCTTTTCTGTATCTGAATTAGTTAAATTTTTGTTCAAATATACACCCTTCTTAGAAGGGTAGGAAGAAGGCTGAATGTACTGGGAAGCTAGGCTACATAGCAAAACCCTTCATCCAAAAAACAACAACAAAACAAATAAACAAACATGTAAAAGTGTGTTTGCATGGGGTAAAGAGCCAAAGACAGATTTCTTTTATGAGATGATAAAACAGATTTTCTCTACTTAGGGAAAGCAAAGAGGGTGCTGATGAGTTTCAGTATTATCATTTTGTAGATATAAACAACAATAGCTGATCAAAAGATGGCTTAAAATGGATATTTGAAATCTGAAGCATGATTATTTTGAAAGGAAAACATTTATCAGTACCATATACTAATCTGACAGAGACAAAATAGATAATACAGATAAAATACAGTATAGATTTTATTTAATATGTATCTAAATGCCAGAAATAAAGCTCTATGATTTGATAATTGTCTTCCATGTAAAAAAAAAAGAAAGAGTTATGAATTCAACAAATAAAACTTCACCTGATTATTCTGGCCAATTTGTGAGTTATAAGATTTGTGAAATAATGCTTTCCATAAAGAAAAATACCTTGTTTTAGAAAATTGGTTCATATAAAATTTTAAACCATGTAATTACTTACAATTACTTAGTACATTATATGATATAATAATTCAAGTAAAAGTGTATAGGATGTCCAAAAGTTAGAAACATGTTAAAATAGTTTTTTTTTCTGTAGAGAATGTTGATACCAGGTGGTCTAATTTGTACTGGAGTTTTTCCCAATGTAGTATCAGTTTTCTGAGAACCATAGATTACTAAAGTGCTCCCCGGGGAAAAAAAACATGAGCAAAGACAAACTCTGGGTTGATGGTGATTACCTGATTATAAGCTGGACTTCTCAGGAAAATAGCAACCCTACATAACAGCCTTGGTTTTCAGCTTGCATGGAAAGTACCTCATGGAGGGAAAGCATACAGGGGCAATGATGGTAAGAAGGACAAGGAAATTAATAACATGAAAAACAACATAGGAATACATTTTAGACTCTGAGCATTAACTGTTTGTCAGGTACACCTGATTCTAATTAAGTTCAGAAGAAAAATCACAAGGCAACTTCTGCCTAACTCTTTTAAATAGTAGGGTGATAAATGGGTGTATCTGAATGTGAATGCCTCCATATTTTTCAACTAAAGTCTGTTCTGTCTTCCAACTGATCACTTTAATACCCAAGTATCACCTCAGCCTGCACAAAGGTACTTGTGTAGATAAGCTCCTAGGTTTCTAAAAGAACTATTATTTTGTTAAATGTCATTTAGGTAACCTATGTGTTTCTCTCAGAATAAAGGTAAATGTTAAACAGCAAATGACTCACAACTAACAAGCTACTTTCAAAAATGTGACCCCATGAATCCTTTCTCTTTGGAATACATGTTCAACACATTGAATTTCTTTTTAATTTCCTACCTTTTTTTAAAAAAATAGATTTTAAAAGAATATCCTTACCCGAATTATTTCTTCAACACAGCTGTTGCTTTCTCCAGATCTAGTCTCCTGAAAACAAAGGAAAAAATAAATTAGGCTTCTTAGAAAAGATTTATGGTCACAAAGAGAAGGTGACATGCAAGGTTCCCAATTAGTGGGAAGAAATTCACTAGAGGTTTGGTGAGGGAATACTTAAGATGGGATTTATTGATAAGTTTCTTCCCTTAATAGCCGACTCCCATTGTGGCTCCTTGCTTCCCCTTGCCTGGTAGCAGTAGCACACTCACACAGGCCTGCCTCAGTGGCTTGACCCTGCATCTCTAGCCACACCGATAACAAGCAGGGAGACTCCTGAGCACAGAGGACAGAACAGGAGTTCTGTCTCAAACAGATTTGAGTTCTGTTCATCCTGGGCTCCAGCACAGTGTAGAAACTACGGTTTCAACTAAGGTTGCAGCCTTTGTTGCAAAAAGTACCAGATGTGTTCCATGGGCCAAATGAGTACAGTGATTGCTATGGCTTAAGTGAAATCCTACTCATTCACAGTTCTCAAAGCCACACTTATTGTTTTGATGGGTCCCCAACCGAAAGACCAAAAACTGAGATCTCTAGACAACACGGCCTAGAGCCACCTGCTTGGCTGTCACTATGCTGCCCTGTGATGTAGTGGTATCCAGGCTTCTGAGGTGGGGTGGCTTTAGGTCACAGCCACTGTTAACAGTAGTAAGTTTGAGAGACTGTTTGCTGCTGGCTTCACAGCCTGGAACATAGCACATGGTTTTGTGGGGACATGAAAGCACCAACTGCTAGTGGAGATGCTACATGTGGTCTTAGGGCAATCATTCTCTGGGTCCTATAATTAAAGGAAATTCTAGCATGGAGCTTTCTTATAATTACTACTCAAGTCCTACTGCCTTTTCTTCCTCACTGTTTTTTAGAGAAGTGCCATCTGTACATGCCAACTGGATAATTCCAACTCATTCTTCAGATTATAGCTCACCCATAGCTTCCTCAGAGTGTCTAAGGCCATCTCTATCCCGAGTTCTCTCCCACTATGGCATCACCTCATCATAGTCCTCTCATGACTGAAATTCAATAACTGATTCTTTAATAACATCTCCTCTCTCTACAACATACACTCCAGGAACACAGAGTTCCTGTGTTGTTCTGAACTAAGCTCCATGTGTACTACCCATTTATTAATTGATGTGGGTGAAGATAGGAATAAATTTACTTCCTGCAAAACTGCAGAGCTTCTGCATGGCCAAGATCATAGCTAGCAAGACAAAAAGAAGCCCACAGATTGGGAGAAGATCTTCCCCAGCTATATAACAGAAAAGGGCCTCATATCTAAAATAGAGCTCAAAAAATTAGGTCCCCAAAAAACATATCCTCAAAGAAATAACCACCCCATTAATAACTGAGATAAAAATTTAAAAAGAGACTTCTCTGAAGAGGAAAGAATGGTCAATAGACACATGAAGAAATGTTCAACATCTCTGGCTATAATAGAAAGGCAAATGAAAACTACATTGAGATTCCACCTCAACCTAGTTAGAACAGCCATTATCAAGACAGCTAATAATAACAGATGCTGGCATAGAATGTGGCCTAAAGGGAACACTATTACGCTGTTGGTGGGAATGTAAACTTGTTCAACCACTCTGGACAGCAGTATGGAGGTTCCTCAAAAGACTAAATATATAGACCTATGACCCAGCAATCCCACTCCTGGGCATTTATCCAAACAATCACAAACAAGGCCACACAAAAACTACCAGCACAACTATGTTCACTGCAGCATTATTTACCATAGCTAAGATATGAAACCAACCTAGCTATCCCTCAGTAGATGAATGGATCAAGTAAATATTGTACATATACACAATGGAATTCTATGCTTCCATCAGAATGACACTGCCCCATTCATAAGGAAATGGAAAGACTTGGAAAAAATCATATTAATGAAGTAAGCCAGACCCCAGGAAACACAGACTCCATGGTTTCCCTCATTTATAATAATTAGTATATATCTAGGATAGTCATAGCGGAGGATCATAATAGGTCAATAGCTATGTACATGTGACCATATAAAATAATGCTAATCAAAGCAAACTCCAAGATATGGAAACAAGAGTTTTTTTTAAGTGTACTGTTTGCAGTTATTTTTTTTCTTTTGTTGTTCTTTTGTTTTGCTTTGTGTTTTTTTTTTACCTTTGGTTTATCCCCTGTTGTCACTGTTTCTGACTTTGGTACCTTTTATTTTGTATATTAAAAGTCTATCTGATTTGGGAAGGGAAGGGGAATCACAGAAATCGTGGAGCAAAGGGTGAGCCAATGCAACAGACATTGTTGGACATTATGTTGGAAATGAACTTCACAACTTGTGGGGAAGGGGAGTCAAGGGAGAGGGAAAGCAGGAAAAAATAAGGGAAGGGGTAATACTGAAATATACTCATCACCATACTTATGTAACTGTAACCTCTCTGTATATCACCTTTACAATAAAACTAGTTAGTTAGTTAATTAACTTACTTCCTGCAGCTGTGAGGAACATGAGGCCTGTCAGAATCAGCTCTAGGAGTTTTGAAGATAATAGCAGCTTTCCCAAAGATGATGACTTTCACACCCGCCCATGTATGCCAACCCATCACCTTTTCCTGGAGTTGTAGTACTGCTGCTGAAATAGGCTATCCTAATGGATGAAGGTTAGAAAAGATGTGTGAAGCTTGGCATGGCACCATATATGACTGTAACCATCTCTTACCTAGAATTAGTCATTTGTTCACATCTCCTGACTGAGGCCAGAAAATTGACATAATTTGTCCCAAGCCACACAGTATCACAGGAGAGATTGTACCAGAACACAGGATACCTGATCTATAGTGTTAGATATTTTCTCCTTCAGAAATGTTTCCCCATCACAAGACTGTCTTTATATCACCTCCCTTATTAAAGTCCAACTTGTCAAAGGGAATCCTGAGACAACCATCTCATAGGCTATATGGTAAAGTCTCATTCAAACGATGGATTTATGGTCTATTGGAATGTCCCTGCCCTTGGCATTCAGAAAAAAGAATCTGCTGTCTCAACTGGAAAACACATCCTGTAGCCACAACATTTCTTTCATTCTACCTACAGGTTTCTAAACATTCCTACAGATGACAAAACAAATGCTAACCTGTCAATATAGCTCCTATATTTTTAAGTTAGAACAACTAAATTAAACCATAATCTCACATTATCCATACAACATACTAAAAATAACTCTTCCAATTAAACTCTGGGCTTGAATCCTTGAAGTCAAGTTTCTCCTGAATACTACACTTGAATTGCATTTGATGTGGTTTATGTAAACCAAAGGTTGCTTAATGATGACTTCTCATAGTCCTATGCTCACAATCTTGAACATTTTCATTACCCTGCTATGTTAAGGGAACCAGTAGAAAAAAAATAGGGATAGGTGGTCTCAATATGACAAGTCCAACCATGAGATTCAGTGGTATACTTGGACAGACACCAGGTCATCACGTACTAGGAAGACTCCTGATACAGTAGAGGAGGTGTCAAACTGAAACCAGGACCAAGCGGCTGAAACCAAGCAGTTTCAGTAAGTTCTTCCCTTAAATCACAGGTTGGTTAGTCTGGCAGAGGGAGACTTTGAGCCTTTTCTGGAACATTTCTCCTGATGACTCAAGAAGAATATCACACTGATTTGGATTCCTAGGATTCTGTTTGGCTTGAGTGGATTTATGGGACACAGTAGCACAGAAAGTGTGAGTTATAAGCAATCTTGGAGCTAATTTCAGGCAAAATCAATGACTTGAACCAGGTAGAAAATCCATGACCCATAGGAGGGAAGTATTTTGTTCAAAATACTCAGCAGGTAGCAGGATCACACAGTGAGAATCCACATATAGTTTCTCAGCACCAGCACAGTATATTTTCTCCAATCTCTCTGTTTCCCTGCACTCAATCCTCAGAATTGGTTCAAATTGAAGTGCAAACTTTCATGCTTTAAAGTAGGGAAATGGGACAATTCAATAGTATCTGGGTAAATTTCCTCCCTTCTCCCATTCTGAAAATACTTTAACATCGAGTTACCATCTCTCACTCACTAACCTCCAACATCATATGCACTGACCAAAAAGAAAAGGGTGTGGGAGATAATGAACAGACCAAAGGTTAAAACTTCTATTCCTCCTGTAACATTCAAAAACCCAGAGGGCAAGACTTGGTGTCCTCAGATGTGGTAGCATGAAATTTCACCTCATCTTTCCTACAAGTACAGAAGGGGCAGGAAGGCAGGTAGGCATGGGAAAGTAGCCGATAGCACTTTTTGCCTTCTGAGGTCTATCTCAAGTCTGCTTTCAGCTATAGTTTGTGCTTTGATTATATTTACATTTTGAAAACTTCCTATGTTTAGGAACAAGATTAAAATGTGCATATAATTTACATCTCCAAAATTGTGTTTATATTTTTCACAATAAAATTACTGCTTCCCTTGGAAAGGTACCCACTGAGAAGGTGGGGGATTGCACAATGTAAATTTTAATTACTCTAGGTTTTGAGAGTTTGGAGCTGTTGTTTCATGCTGAGTTGCTGAGCTGCTGTTTGGTATTTACTCCAACTCTCATGAACCCAACTCATTTCCCTATCATTACATTTTGAAATCTGTCATAACAATATCACCTCATTGAACCTCCAACTAAACTTCAATTAAAACCTAACATCCCTGGCTGATTCTTCTCTACAGTCTTGCTATCGTGTATGTTCTCTCAAATCCTGCCACTTAAATACACACACTTTGTCTGGGAAGGGTGAGGAACTAAGCTCTGGGAAAGGAGAGCTCAAGAATCCACCAGGAGCTTGCTGCCCCTGACAGCAGAAGTCCCTAATTACTATGCACAGCACACAACACTGTAAGAAGCAAGGCTTAAGGAGAACAGGCTCAATCAAATCAGGGAAAATGGCATTTCATCACAGAGGAGATGAGCTGAACACATCCTACTTTGAAAATAGTTTAACTCTTCATCAGATTCATTTCAGGTGGAACTTTCATTCTAAAA